CCAGAGCCCGTTCCGCCAGCAATGGAGTGACACAGCACAAAGCCCTGGAACAAAGCAGAATGTGGACAGCTCAAGGGACCGACTCAGCCTCTCAAGTGAGATGGAGCAGAGATGAGCTCTGGCCATGCCATGCAACAGAGCCTGGGTCAGCACAGCTGGCAGCTGACTGTCTCTGGATCTGTGTCAAGAGCCACTAGTGGCAGTCAGGTGACATCACTGAACATCCTTCAAGCCTTGTCTCTGAGACAAAGTCCTGCAAACTCAGCTGCCCCCATCCTGCTCAGGAGCCTTTTAGATCCCTCCCAACCTTGGAACACAGGTTAAAGCATCACAGATATCCCTCCCTGAGCTAAGCATCCAATCAGTTGTAACACAGGTGAGTTCATAAGTTCAGGCCCTTCCTCTATTTCCAAATCAACCTACACCTGTCCCTACCAATCTTAGTGTCCCTAGAGGAAAGGCTCCTCCCTTTCTGACTCCAAGCTAAACACTCACCTGCTCCAGATCCCCACAACCTACTCCTTCTACAGTCATGTGTTTCCTTTTCCTGTTGCAGTGCAACAGAATGAAATAAACACATGGGTGCTCTGACCATCTCAGCAAAGGGCATGATGAAACTTAGGACAGTCAAGGTGATGTCAGATAAACAAAGCAAAACCAGCTGAAGAGATGGTGATTTCTTCCCCTGACTCCCCTCCTGCCTCTGAGTTACAGGACTCCACAGTGTCAGTGGCAGTAACAGGAGGCTGAATTTCTCAGTCAAGTGGTTTCACAGTTACTGATCCCCTTTAAACCTGCTTAAGAAAGTGAAACTGTAGCTGCCTCGGGTTCTTCACACCTTCACACTCTAAGGATTTCATGGTAGCCAACAGCTTAGGCTGGCCCAAAAGCTGGACTATGTCTGTCTGCTGCCACCTTGTGGTTCTAAAGCGAGCATCCATTCAAACCACATGCATAGCAGAGCAAACCAGCAGGGTACAGATTGGGATGGGGGCATTTCATCAGCACCCTTCCTACCCAGCTGTGGAGATTCACTAGAAGCCAAGCTGGGAAGGGAGTGTTTGGAGAGTGCTCCTTTGGGAAAAGGGAGAGGAACTACTCAGTCTGATGCAAGGGGAGATGAAGAGTAGGTAAAGTGGGTAAAGGGAGGCAGCAGGTCAAAATCCCTTCTTAATAACAAGCTCTGTTGGGTGTTTATGGTTTCTTCCAGAAGAGGCCATCACTAGAGGTGTTTAAATTGGATTTGGAAAATGTGTTACAAACCTTGCCAGAGAAAACCCCTCCCCTTCCAAGGGATCATGGGATCTTAGTTTCATAGTTTATAGGGTTGGAAGAGACCTGAACAGATCATCAAGTCCAACCCCCTGCCCTGGGCAGGAATGAGTGCTGGGGTCATAACACCCAAGCCAGATGTCTATCCAGCCTCCTCTTGAAGACCCCCAAAGTAGGGGCCTCCCTTGGGAACCTATTCCAAAGCCTGGCAGCCCTAACCATAAAGTAATGCCTCCTGATGTCTAGCCTGAACCTGTCCTCAGTCAATCTGTGGCTATTATTCCTCGTTATCCTAGGTGGTGCCCAAGGAACAGAGCCTCACTTATTTCCTGCTTGTGCCCCCTGGTGAGTTTACAGATGGCCACCAGATCCCCTCTCAGTCTTCTCTTGTGGAGGCTGAATAGATTCAGGTCCTTTAGTCTATCTTCATGGGGCCTGGCCTACTGCTCCCTGATCATGCAAGTGACCCTCCTTTGGACCCTCTCAAGGCTAGCCACACCCCTCTTGAAGTGCAGCACCCAGAACTGGACACAGTACTCCAACTGCGGCCTGACCAGCGCTGCATAGAGGGGAAGGATCACCTCCCTGGACCTGCTTGTGATGCCTCAGTACATGCATGACAAGGTGTGGTTAGCCTTACTGACTGCTTCCTTGCATTAGCAGCTCAGGTCCATCCTGGAGTCAACAAGGACTCCAAGATCCCTTTCAGCCACTGTGTTGTTGAGAAGGGCATTCCCCAGCTTATAGGTGTGTTGCAGGTTCCTTCTCCCTAGATGCAGCACCTTGCACTTGTCTGCATTGAATTCCATTCTAATCTCATCTGCCCACCTCTGTAACCTGTCTGTCCCTCCCCTCCAGTGTGCCCACTTCTCCCCACATCTTTGTGTTATCAGAGAATTTGGATAGTGTGCTTTCCAAGCCCACCTCCAAGTCACTGATAAAGATGCTGAATCTTAGGGGAGAACACAACAGATTTGGGAAAAGCTTCCTGTCTAGGATTACTACTCTGGATGCAAGCTGCTCAGCAGCCTTATCCCCAAACACCTTTGCATCCTCCAAGTTTCCACAAAGATTGAGCCTTCAGAGTAACACAGACAAAACAGCAGAGACCTTAGGGCTGGGATCTACCCTGGGCAATGGCAGTCTGGCACAGTCAGCAATGAATGATCTAAGGTCTCTTTGTTACTTACCTCTAAACTGTCACTCCCATCAGCCTCTCTATCTATTATGTCAAAGATATCTTCATGGATTTTTTCACCCTGCAAGGCAGAACCAAAGCAACATTCATTCCATTAACTTCCCCTTGAGGAATCACAGAGAAGTAGGGCTGGAAGGGACCTCCAGAGGTTATCTAGTCCAGTGGTTCTCAACTATTTTTGTACCAGGATTTGTAAACAGTGATGGCCAGTCCCGACTCAGTAAATACTTTAAGTAGAAAACAGCTCCCAGACCCTGCCAGTACCTCTCATTCCTGACCCACAGCCCCCTGGCCCTGCTGGTGCCCCTCACTGACCTACAGCCCTCTGGTCCTGGTGGTGACTCCCAACCCATGGATCTCTGGCCCTGCCAGTGTCTCCCCAGTTGGTTACTCCTCATGCTGCTGGCAGTATGGCTGGCACAGGATTCATGGTGGCAGCAGAAATGAGTCCCGCTGCCCTTGCCCACTCTCCCATGCTGGGACCCACCTGCTGGGCCACGGAAGCGGCTCCTGCCTGTGTCAGTCTGGCCAGGCTGCAGCCCCATGCGCGCTGCAGGTGCACAGATCTGGGGGGGCACATGCCCCCCCACCCCGACCCACTGAAGAGCTGGGGGTGGGGAGCAGCAAGTTGGGAGTGAGGGGTACCAGCAGCAGGGCTGGGAAGGTGGGGGGGACTTTGGATTGGGAGTGAGGTCCCCCCAAAAATGTTGCCTGTGCCCATTCCTGCCTCCCCAATGCATCCTTTATGCCCCCGCCACCCCACAGACTTACCTGTGGGAAGCTGCAGGAGCTGCTCCCCATCCTGCTTGGTTGCCATGTGCATGTGCACATGCATATGGTGCCTCCTGGCTGATTGCCTTCTTCCCACCCCCCCACAGCCCCAAGCAGCCCCTTGTACACTAGAACTCTGCCAGCATGCAAGGGGAAATATGTACTTTCCCATGTTTTTCTACGACGGTCACAACCCTTTCAAAGATTCTTATGACCAACTTTTGGGTTGCAACCCATGGGTTGAGAAACACTGATCTAGTCCAACTAGATCATCCCTATCCAAACCATACTATACAATCCATAATCTAAACTCTACATAAAACCACCATCAACCCTGACGCAACACAGACATAACACCTTAACCTGCCACAGATATGTGCCAGGCATAATGTCATGCAGCTTCCAGCCATGCCATTAGATCTTAGGGGTGTTTTTTTACCCATGAGTCCATCCTGAATGGTATGGTACTTGGATATCAGCACTTAGGATCATAAGAAAGTAAGGCTGGAAGGGACCTTATGAGGTCATTTAATCCAGTTCCCTGCTCAAGGCTATCCCAGCCAAGAGCTTTTCTTTAACCTGCTCTTAAGAATTTCTACGGATGGACATTCCACAGCTTCTCTAGGTAGCCAGTTCCAATGCTTGACCTCATACTCAAACAGTTCTTCCCAATTTCCAAACTAAATTTTCCCTGCTGCAGCTTGAGGCAATTGCTCCTAGTCCTGTCCCCTACGGTCGCAAAGAAAGAGCTAACTTTTTTATACTCATCCTTCAGCATTTCAAACTGTTAGCAAATCCCTCCTCAGTCATTTCCTCTCCAGACTAAACAAGTCCAGCTCCTTCAGTCTCTTCATAAATCACTGTCCCCAGCTCCCTAACCATTTTCATTGCCCTCTGCTGGACTCTTTCCAATTTGTTCACATCCTTTCTGTAGTGGGGGACTGAGAACTGAACACACTGCTCCAGATGCGGCCTCACTACTGCCAAGTAGAGGAGAATAAATTACTCCCTTTGATCTGCTGGCAATGCTCCTACTAATGAAACCCAGCATGCTGGTAGTCTTCTTTACAACAAGGGCACACTGTTGACTCATATTCAGCTTCTTGCCCACTGTAAGCCCCAGGTCCTTTTCTATAGAGCTGCTGCTTAGCCACTCAGTCCCCAGCCTGTATCGGTGCATGGGATTGTTTCGTCCTCAGTTCAGGATTTTGCACTTGTCCTTACTGAACTTCATGAGATTTCTTTTGGTCCAATCCTGCAATTTGTCAAGGTCTCTCTGAATCCTAGCTCTACCCTCCAGCACATCTACTACTCCCCCCAGCTTGGTGCCATCTGCTGCAGGTGCACCTCATCCCATCTGCCAGGTTGTTGATGCAGATATTGAACAAAACCAGCCACAGGACTGCCCCCTGGGGCACTCCCCTTGATAGTGGTTGCCAACTAGACACTGAGCCATTGACTACTACCATCTGAGCTGGGTTATCTAGCCAGTTTTCTATTCACCTTACAGTCCATTCATCCAAGCAACCCGTACTTCTTTAGCTCACTTGCAAGAATGTTATGGAAGACTGTATCAAAAGACTTGCTAAAGTCAAGGTATATCACATCCATTGCTCTCCCCACAAGAACCAGTCATCTCATCATAAAAAGCAATCAGGTTGGTCAGGCATGACTTGCCCTAGGTGAATCCATGCCGACCGTTCCTAATCACCACTACCTCCTCCAAGTGCTTAGAAATGGATTCCCTGAGGACCTGTCCCATGATTTGTCCAGGGACTGAGGTAAGGCTGATCGGTTTGTAGTTCCCCAGATCCTCCTCCTTCTAAACATGGGCACTATATTTGCACCTTTCTGATTGCCTGGGAACTCTCCCGATTGCCAAACGTTTTCACAGATAACAGCTAGTGGCTCTGCAATCACATCACCCAACTCCCTCAGCATCCCTGGGTGCATCACATCTGGCACCATCGACTTGTACATATCCAGCTTTTCTAAATAGTCCCTAACCTGTTCTTTTGCCACTGTTGGCTGCTTACCTCCTCCCCAAACTATGCGGCCAGGAGCAGCAGTCTGGGAGCTGAACTTGCCTGTGAAGACTGAGGTAAAAAAGGCATCAAGTACTTCAGCCTTTGCTGAATGGGACTGCCCCCCGTTCAGTGAGGGACCCACATTTTCCCTCATTTTCCTCTTCTTGCAGATATACATGTAGAAACCTTTCTTGTTATCCTTCATGTCCCTTGCTAACTGCAACTCCTGTTGCACTTGACCTTCCTTATTTCATCCCTGAATGCCAAGCAATACTCTTATACTCCTTCCTAGTAGTCTGTCCAAGTTTCCATGTCTTGTAAGCTTCCTTTTTGTGTTTTAGCTCTCTGAAGAGTTCCCTGCTATGCCAAGCTGCTTTTCTGCCATACTTGCTAGTCTTCCTGCATCAGGATGGTTCATTCCTGTATGTGCCAAGGTGTTTTTAAGCTTCCCCAAAGGCATTGGGTGTTGTCTAAAGCTAAGACTGGGGACTTCAACTGGGGTGTGCCAATTCTCCTGCTAGGAGCAAAGCTGGAGATTCCTGGAGAGAGGGTCTTGCCCTTCTGCTCAGGGTCAGACTGATCGCTATATTTGGGGTCAGGAAGGAATCTTACTCCATGGTCGGACTGGTATGGTCTGTGAGGGTCTTTGACTTCTTCTATATACAGCAGGGGTTGTGGTATTCTACCCAGGACCTCTTGAGCATATATTAAAAACATTTTACGGAAGCAGGACATTGGATGCCGTGGTTCCCCTGCTTTACCTGTGGCATGTTAGGGTGTTAGGTCTGTGCTGCATCAGGGTTGAGGGTAGTCTTATGTAGAGTTTAGATTATGGCTGTATGGGATGGATTGGATAGGGACGATCCTGCCTCAGGCAGGGGGTTGAACCAGATGACCTCTGGAGGTTCCAACTTTTCTATGACTGTGACTAAAATACAACCAGAAATCCTGGATGCTTTTCCCCTTCAGACTGGTCTCCCTGGGAAACATTTTTGTAAAGAGTCCACCAGAGAGAGACAATCTAACCACATATTTTTGAAGCATGGGGCCCAAAACAGCACAGAGCGCTGAAGGGAATCCCAGCAGGGCTGAAGGAATTCCCTGGTAAGCTCTTAAGCACAAGGACTAGAAATATGTTTGCACCAGCATGCATAAGGCCACTTACCTGGGAGAAGCCACTGGCCCAGTTGTTTCCGGCCCCGCCCCCATGCTCAGACAGGTAGATGTTTTCTGGATTGTACAGGTTCGCATAAGGGGAGTTCAAGATGGAGTGGATCACTCGGGGCTCGAGGTCCAGAAGCACAGCCCGAGGGATGTAATGTTCATCATCTGCCTGTAACGGGGAGAGGTGAAAGGGCTAAAGAACATGACACAGTCATAACTCAACAGCGCTCTGCTGTGCAGGAGAAACTGAGGCAGGCACCGGCTGTCAGCCCAGAGCTATAAACACAGCCAGCATCAGCATCAGGTCCTGGTGGAGTGGACTGGCAAGGCAACAGTTATTACCGGGCACCTCTCTCGAGCCAGTACCTAGTCATGTCCCTGGACCCTGCTGCACTGGGTGCTGCACGCAGAACAGACGCAGCCCCTTCCACAAAGTGCTCCCACTGGTAGCAGATGCATGACAACTCCGCGACTGTGGCCGGGGGGCCGCCTGCACCAGGCGCCGCAAGGGGCACAAGTGCCTCCATGCGTGGCAGGCAGCAGTACCGGGCAGCTTGGGGCAGGGGTGGGATCAGAGCGGCCTGGGGGGGCCGGGCCCGCACCTGGTAGAAGAAGACGTCCTTGCGGTCCGTGCCCTCGGTGGCGAACTCCTCCACGATGCCCTCGGGGCTGATGCCGTGCTCGGCGCACAGCTGCTTCCAGAACTCGAACCCGACTGCGGCCAAGGAGGTGAGGCGGCGTCAGCCCCGCGCCTGCCCGCCCGGCCCGGCCCTGCCCTGCCCGGCCCACCCGCCCTG